TTCCTCATATTTGTGTACAATCCTTTTCTTTTTTAATATTTATTGGCTTGGTTGCAAAGTCTTTTAAGCCAAAACTTTATTGCGTTTATTTGGACGCAAGAAATGTAACGGCACTTACATATTGCCTAAACAATATCAATTTTAAATGTATTAATTATTTGTAATAAATAAATAATGATATGGAAATTTGAACAAGTAATAAAAATAATATTTATTTATTTTTTATAGATTTGTTGAACAGTGAATGGACAAAAATTTTAATTCTAGATCAGACTCATCTCCAATTTTCCCCTAGTATCACCCGTTCACGTGACGCATGAGCCAGCCAACTGACAGCCATATCGTTTTAATCCTCGGAATTTCAATCCTAACAGAGTGGTCGTGACGGGCACGCTTCTACTACATGAATATTATCTACCAAATGTTGACAGAACAAATACAGGTGTAAGAGTATGCAACGGAATCTAAATATATATAGTACCTAATACATCTGTCAACTTATCATCGACAAAATAAACATGTGAGATCACAGATTGCTTCCGAAAAAGAATATCAACAGTTGCTGTAACAGGACTAAGTTTATTATAATTAGTTTATTTTTGGGTGCTTGTTCTAGATCTATACTGATATTATGAAGAGGTAATGTTTCTTACTTTATTTATAGTGGGTAATCTTTGGAAATACTATTCCGATCGTGTAATTTCTTTTACCTACGGGAAGCTAAATCATACGCGGGTAACATAGGCTATAAGTTCGCCGTCGAAGTTGCGGGAAATCGACCAGAAAACAAACTAGTTTCAATAGCAATATTGAAACTAATGAAAGCTCGATGTCCGGGTATCAGTTTTTTTTTACTTCCGGAAGAACTAACGTTTAGATATAGTTCTGTTTATGTATGTTAGTAAAACAAATTTATATTTGTACTGATAAATAAATATATTGATGGTAATTTAAAAAATACGTTTGCCAAGTGCTGCCGAGCTTCAGTAGGACCATGACATATGAGAAGAACATGCGACTTTTGTTGTTTTTTAATTTTTCATTGAATCTCTATGCTGATATTGATTGTGATAACACTATGTCCAATAATATATTCGAGCAAAGCAGAACAAAAAGTCGTGCTGTAGTTAGCACATTGGTCTACGGTTTATAGGAAGTCGTCAACAATCCACAATGGGCCCGCATAGTATACATTGGCGCCTTTGCCCCAGCGGTAAGGACATACACTGTTGATGATGAAGACGAGTCGAGTCAGTCTACAAAGAGAAACGCTTTTTTTCAAATAAAATTGTTAGAGAAATTAGTAAAGGAATTGGAATTTTGTATAGATATAAATAAACTAATTGAGATAGAGTAGTAAATGTATGTACAAATAACAAATTTGTGGCCGCCTCATCATGTAGACGGCGCGGCGACGGCGTGATAGCTTAAAGTGACTATCCGGTTGTAAATATATACTTATAAAATAGCCATTATCTTTATAAGCATCTAGCTGTTTTCCAACAACTTCGTCAGTGTATATTATAGCATCCCGTAGATGAAAGAATTTTCATGATTAAATTCCATTTTACGAATATTAGCCCCTACAAACAAACAACATAAAACTATACTTATTTATAATACTAGCTTTTGGTCACAACTTCGTCTGCGTGGTATAGTGACTTTGGGTGGCATTTCTAAAACGAATATTTATTAATTATATCGTGTAAAATACCCGAAATAAAGTTTCATGATCTTCGACAAAGACGAATTTCCGTACAAACTTTAATTCCTAATTTCAACCCTTTTATCAAATAAAAAGCAACCTATCTCAACTCTGTTAAGTGGGTCAGGCGTGAGAGCGTAACTGACATATACACAGACCTACTTTCGCATGTACAATATTAGTATGGAATAAACGAGTCTCCTTGTCGCTCATTACATCATAAATTTTCTGAACAAAACGATTACGCAGTTTAGTTAGGAGTAAACGCCATCTAGTATCACCATCATCAACCCTCTAAAGTCCCCACTGCGAAACGCTCAGGCCTTCTTTGTGGATTGGTTAAGGAGGATGAGCCGTGTATAACCCTCCACGCTTGCTCGATGCGAATTGCAGGGCATTAACGGTATAACGTACCATCAGAATCATGGAGTAACTCGAAATAATATAACTTGTTCCCCAACTTGAAAACTCAAAATATCAGTGCGATGTAGAAGCATACTTAACGCCATCTAGTATAGCACAATATATACAGTTGGTGTTTTCTTTCGTATATAAATGTTATTTTCGGTCTAAGATAGTTCTGTCCAAGTAAAAGTGTTAATTTCCATGGACATTTTGTTTTACCATTCCTACCTTCTACTGATAAGCTTACACAGACAATGAATCCCTGTCCGGCAAGTAACAACAGTGCCCTAACACGAAGTGGAAACAATTGTGGGCCATCTCGACACACCACACCCTTTGTATGTATATGTAACTGCCTTAAGCCATATCACGACTTCGCAAGCATAGCAGGGGTCGTGACAGACATGAGTGTGCTACATGAATATTTATCTACCTTAGCAAATATTTACAGAAAAAATACGGTTGTCTGCAAAAAAGTAATTAATATAGAAGCAATACATCTGTCAACACGTAATAGCCCAAATAAACATGTGATATCACAGCTCCATTAAATGAAAGTAAGCAATTGCTAATCTACGATTTTAATTTTATTTAGGTATTTTTTTCTGTGAGTTATTAATTAAACAATATACTTTTTTAATTTATTTAACAATCCAAAACATTTACAATATTATTGGTTAAAAAGGCAGTATAAAAATCAGTAAGATTATTTTGTACATAGTGCCAAGTATTTGTAGCATCAGTAAATAATATAAATCATCAATACATATTATAAAACAAAGTCCCCCGCCGCTTCTGTCTGTCTGTTCGCGATAAACTCGAATCGTACTGGACGGATTTTCATACTTCAATTTGTGAGGAAGGTTTTAGAGTATAATAAGTGAAGGTTTTGTACAAACTGACGATATTAATTCAATATGTCGGAAAAAATAAAGCCGATCGGGAGTTTTCCTCGAAAACGCTGCCAAATTTTTTTAAGTTATACCAAAAACATTGTAACGGTTTACTAAATAAACCGTTTTTCTTTTGCACATTTAGCTGATATGCTTAATTCCTTTTTACTTTATGGTACAAATTAATTTAAAGAAAAATAATCAAAACAATAATTGTAGGTACACTGGTAACAATTATAGCATGGAGGTAGGAGACATGGGAGCCCGACGCGGCTCATAATGGTGAAATAGTATATAAACGAACTCTCGCGCAGCAATACTTCATTTTTAAGTGATTTTGAAATATTTTTAAGTGTGTGCTAAATAACCCCGAAATCGGGTGTGTTCTAATTTCTTTAGTTTTTACTGCTCGCTTACAAGTTATTACCCTGAAGTAATTTATTTTTAAAATCACAAGTCCAATAAATATTTCGTTGCTTTATAATATTAACGTTTTCTTTGAACATTGTCTCTGAAGTGAAAATCTAGTTCGTAACCTAATGTTCGATAATATTTCAATAAAGGTGAAATAGATATTTAAGGAAATATTATAATAAATAATTGATAAACTTGACGTTTAGACGATTTTAAATGGAATACTTAGTGCTTTAATTTTACTTGAACTGCAAATTCGATTCCCGTGCATTTTAATATAATAGTGTTTGTATTTTTTTTTACTTACAGATTATTATTATAGCATCTTTTATTTTAACTACATTCCAAATGATTTTAATTATCTTTGAAACACGCATTTATATATATTTTTTATCGGGTAGATTTTATAGAAGCTATAGCAACTGCAGCTATCTTAATTGTTCCAGGCCACAGGTAGCGCGACTTATTTATTGAACTTCGATTCAAGGGTTCTTCCATCGGATTCCACTTTACCCACGCTACTCCACATCCTACATGTCGAGTCTTCGTTGTTCACCGGTAAAACTGACTGATGCTGACGTCTGGTCTACCTTTGGCAGCCGCTGCCAGGCCGTGACACCCTGACACAGCGAACTTGACATTAAATCCCCTATTCTACTTTAAATCTAAATCATCTTAATTCGAGATACAAGAACCATAGCGAGCGGATCTGTACCCACTCCCTAAGATATAAAATAAAGTTTGTTAAAACATTATTTGTTTAGTTCTTTTCACCTGAAGCCTTGTGCTTCTTACCCCCATCTTCAATCCTACTCTTCAGTGGCGCCCAACGTGGGGCCCGAACCCACAACTCTGAGATTAAGAGTCTCATGCTCTACCGACTGAGCCGGGCGCTTCACAATGTATTGTGGAATTGTATCTCTTTAATAGATCAGCAAAAAAGTCCACGGTGGTATATGTCTATTTTCCAAATATAACCCACAATAGCCATTTATTTTCGTTTATTTAAAACAGTAAAATAATGGGTTATTTACGAACCCATTTTTAACAGTACAGTATTAATCCTTATTCAAATAAATAAGTTAGACGTTGACGTTATGCAGAAATGTAGATCAAAATTTACACTTAATTAAAAAAATAACTAATGAGTTATCGAAAAATAAAAATCTCCGGGTGAGAAAATTACATAACGATGAATAAAAATGAATCACCGAAACGTGTGTACGCGTTGAACTTCAGAATTCCAGTTCTGACTGCACCAAATTGGATGATTCGATTTTTTGTGTTCCACGATTCATGACACTGCTTGTATATAAGAGTATTTAAAAAAAAAACGGGTATTGGGCGGGCAATAAATTACATAATTCTAATAATACTATACTGAGAATAGTTTGTTCACAAAGTTAATTCTTAACATTTATATGTTAGGTATTGATATTCTAAAAATATGTCAACATAGTGAAAGTCGGGAAAGGAGATTTAGTTTATTTGCTCGACATAATATTTTTCAATACTATCCTACCTATAAGCAACAACCCTACGTGTTTAGGCTATTGTCGCTTGCTCGGGGCTCGAGTTGGCGTACTATTCTATAATATTATGGTATTATGCACTCTTGACACGTGGTCGAGAAGCTTCAAATGCCTAGTCTCACACGTTGCAAATTTGTAAAAGGGCTCTTAAGTTTTATTTCACTTGCCGTGTAAGTTTGTTAGTGTGGACCTTCCCACTTTCCGATTGAGGTGTTGTGTGTTGTGTGTGTGTTAATGTTATACACAATTTAGTTAACAATGCAACGTTAATATGGAATGGTGCTAATCTACCGATGGTGCCATAAGGTAGTCATGGGCTAACGAAGTAACTCCATCGGGTTCATTTGATTTATATATACAAAATAAATATAACATATACAAGAAAATCTTATTATTAAAACTTATTTCGATTACGATATTGAAACTTGAACTTTTAGTTCTGACGTAAAGACGGTTTTTAAATTCTTATTTTGAACACCATATCAGATTTTTATTACTGTTCAAAGATGTATGTATTTTATCAATTTTGCATTCACAATGGTATACTGGAAAGTATCTTTAATGAAAAATGTTTAAAAAATCCCAAGGGTACTCTTAGATGGGAGTCAAACCCACGAACTTTTGCAATTCAGGTGACTGCTTTAACCACTGAGCTACCCAGACCCAAACAGGACTGACGAAACAGCAGAAATAAATAGTATATTTACAAATATTTAAACTTTCGATTAGGATAAAAATTTGTTCTAATTATGATATTTGACCAATATTACTATTAAAGTCACTTACATTGTAAAGAACATTGGAATTTCATGATAATTAATGAACTATTTTAGTAGATCGTTTCCACGTTAGAAATGCTAATACAAGAGCAGAATATAATTAAGTAATAAAACGACAAGTTCTTTATTAATCTTTTTTATTCAATTGACAAATCTCTTCAATTTCTCTTGATTCAAAAACATATGTACTAGAGAGTTTCAGCAGAAATGTGTAAATAAAGATTATAATTGATTTTCGTTATTTTTATTTACAAGAATTATAGTTATAAAATCTTATTTAAATAGATAATGTAAGCCACTTTGCTTTGTAGCCATTTTCTTCTCAGCTCATGTAATACGTCATTTGTCAAACCGTCTAACGCTCTGAATATTTACAGAAACGTTAATAATTAAATTTAATGCTTTACATAAGCAGATATAAAATTATTACACAAAATAAATACAAAATACTTTTTAGCCGCTCAATATTTTCTCAATCTCTTCAATCGTTTTCCCTTTGGTTTCAGGCAGAAGTACCAATGCAGCAATAGCGCCAACGATGTTTATAAATCCATAAATGAAGAACATTGTATAAATCCCGAACATTTCACTAACGGGAATGAAAGCTAGTAGTTGGATCGATGATACAAACCATGAATAGGAAACTATACACCCCATCAGCTTGGAACGAACCTTAAAAGAGAATAAAATAATGTCTATTAAAATTGAAAATTGTTGATAAAAGATATATAGAAGTAAATAACGCTTCCAACTTAGAGTACAAACATTCATTCACTCTTGTTACACATACTATTGGAGACGAGGTTGAGCGCAACGACATAAGAGAAAATTTATAGAGAGAAGAAATTGACCCATTGTATGACCGGACCTTGCGTTCAATGTTATCACAAGTATATAATCAAAATATATAATTACCTACACAGAATTTAAATCGCAGTTTGACAGGATTGAATCTAAATTCAGTCTAGTAGTGCAACAAAATTGCTACCATTGTCTGATAAAATTACCAGCTTATGCTAACAAAACTTTTATCTATTGGAATAAAATATTACCTGAAAGTGGAACATCTCCGACACGATTACATAGAATAATGGTAAAACACCAGCCGCGTAGGCCCATACAGAAGCTGCAATTGCGAACAACGGTATCCAGTCGGGTGGGCTGAAACCATTATGCTGCAGCACCAGATACGTGCCCAAACATGTCATTGCTGCTGCTATCAAAGTGTGCATCGATACGAGAATGACCTGTGGAACAATAAGAAAAAAATATAGATGCACAAACAGGAACATAACATACACCAATTCACTTTAATGCGCCTACAGAGTTTCTACGCTTTTACAACATAAACGAGTACTGAATTAATTGTTATGAATCCAATATATAATCCATCCAAAATAAATTTAGTTTTACCAAAATTACAAATGATTGTTAAAACTCTAAAGAAATGTTTGTGTTCCGACGATTTGATAACAAAAAAAATATTCACCTTTCTTCCAAATTTTTGCACCCATACCATCGATACCAGAGACCCGAAAAGTAACAGAACTGGCACTACCAGCGACTGTAGATCCGGGTCGCCAGAAGCGCCAGTAGAGGATAAAATTACCCAAACATATGTTAAGATGGCAAAAATACCACTGCCTGATTGCGCAGTATTGACTAGTATTATGCGAAGAAGCCCTCTGCGCCATGCTTTGTTCTTAACTGGAAGACAACAAAATTAAAACTAAGTTAACCAGTGAACAAGTTTTGTGACATGATCAAATTATTCTTGTGCAGTACAAGCAGATTCATTAAACTGTCTTCCTTAAATGGTATTGAACATGCAGTACTAATAGAGCTTAACCCAGTTTCGAAAATTTTACCTTCTATGATAACCTGATGTGCTGCTGTATAATATTTAAGCAATACTTTATATGTAACAGTTCCACTCAAAACACGATCAAGCCTCAATTTACTTGGAAGAAAATTGTGTTACAAAGTACAGCTTAATTATAAAATGGCACTACTTACAAATATTAACAAAAGTGAGGTGAGGCAATGATTTGTAATATTCTTCATCATTTTTCATTTCATTCATTTCAAGTTGTATACTCTTGTGGTCTGACTGCACACCTCTTAGTAGAGCTAAAGTCTTTGCAGCCTCCTAAAAATTACATAATTATTTTATAGCATAACATTAACTCAAAATACAATAAATATGAAAATTTTATCATAATTATCAGCCTAGTAATATCCCGATTCCTAAGTCATTGGCCTACCCGTGTAGTGAAATACTGGAACCTAATATAGATTGATGCGACCAACGACTAAACTTGTTTTCCAAATCACAGAGCCATAAAAATACATTTTTCGTCATCTGAAAACACATAGTTTTTAGAAGACTATGTGGAGGACTACTTACTTCAAATTTCTCTTTCTTCACCAAGTGAGCAGGCGATTCAGGAGCAAAAACCATAAGCACCGTGGATATAAGTGACACGCTGAGCGATATCCCCAGAATAGTGTAGTAATCCAAATAACCGCCAATTAAGTACATGAAGAAACAGCCCAAGTTTTGCATTAACATAAGCAGGGCGACCGCTGCGCCTCGGATGCTGTCTTGGCTTATTTCTCGCACGTATATGGGTAAGGCGATAAAACAACCAGCTGATGCAAATCCAGCTACTGCTCTTGAGATAATCAACAATGTAGTGTTTGTAGCGAATAGCTTCATTGCCCAACTTAGCTGGAATATAAGTAAATTATGGTTGATGAACTATGTCTAAATAGAGTATATTTTTTCCAGAGAATTTTCAAAATCCCATATGAGGAGAATGATTTTAACAAAAATTCCACAAAATATCGTTATTTTTATTTCCAACTACCAGGATCACAGAAAATCAAAGAGCTTACCGACTGTGGTATGGCTACCGCCAACACACCAGCTTTTCTTCCAAATTTGTCTGTTGTGTACGCATAAAAAGTCACTACGCACATCGCTGTAAGAGCAGTAATACTGCTAACCCATGTAAGTTCGCTACTAGATAAAGCTGATCCAGTTGGTGACAACTCCGACGTCAGAATTTTTGTCATAGGTGACAACCAGCCGTTCGACATTCCGTAGTTAAACATCATCATAGAAACTGAAATCAAAATCTCTTTACACTCCCTGTTAGCCTGGTATGTGATTGTCGAAGAAAAGTATAAATTTAAATTATAATTACCAATCATCACTACTGTCCACTGAAGACGAGTATGCCCAAGGCCTCTGTTGTCCTTATTCTTTTCATTACTTATTATTTTATCAGTCATTTTATCACAATAAATTAATGATTTATGTCAAAAACTATTTAGAACAGTTCGTTAAAATTCAACGATTTCTCGTTCTAATATACTTTTGAAGTAATGAAAGTTAATTAAAAAATAAAAATAAGTATTAAAATAATAATCAGATCTCGTAGAGTAACTATAACATATGTTAGTTGAATGAGATATACAGTTAATATTGGGACTTTTATATTAATTTTATGATGACTTAGGGATGTCTACCAGTAGATATTGTCTAGATTACAAGAACTTTCAGAATTATATGTTTTAACTTTAAAATCATCTAAACAATCGAAAACGAATCATTATTAAAAAGGTAAAAGTTCCTTCTGGAATATATATTTCAAACAAAAGAAGAATCATCGAATTCCAACAACTATTGAAGAAGATATTATGTATTGATATTGTGGAACATACTAAGAAATGAGAAATTCCCTTTGCACCTGGGACTATCATAAGCATTTTTTTAAGACAATTCTCCTCCTTTTCCGAAGTCGTTTAAAAATAGAGAGAGTAGGTAAATTACATCATGAAGAAGGGTATTGCCAGACTAAATGTTTTTTTTATTTATTTAGTAAGAGTGATTGAGAGCTAATATCAAACAACCAAATTTTTCCTCTTTATAATATTAGAATAGATATCGTGGAACATAGCTAGAAATTGAGACATTCCCTTTGCACCTTGGACTATTATAGGGATTGTTTAAGTATTTTTTTAAGATGAACTTCCTCCTTTTCTGAAACCGTTTATAATAGATAAAGTAGATCACTACTTCATAATGAAGTAGGTTTTTGCTTGTAAAAATGTTCCTTTGTTTGTTAAGTAAAAATGATTAGAGCTAACTTTCATTTTTTATTTAAAAATACCTTTGAATGAGGCATGTTTTACATTCTTATTACAATTTGGCACAACCCTGCCATGGTCCTAGTAACAACCACACACGTAATGATAATTTTCCAGACATCGTTATTTAAAGAAAAATTCATTACGTAGTGATTAAATAAACTAACAGATAACATATTTCGTATTTCCACAAATTCAAATGTAGGCCATGCTCAATAGTAAACATACTGAGATGTTCTGTGTATTTAAAAAGTCTTCCTTTTTTAATTCGAATATATTTGCAGAAGTTTCAGAATTCACGTCTAAACCACTGAAGCGATATTTGAAACTTTGTATTTAGAAATTTGGTAAGATTCAGTGCCTCAATATTTTTTCAAGGATTTTTTCTTCAATTCCTGCTCATAGTTACTATATCACACGGACCAAGTTACGAGCAAAATCAAGTTGTATTAAGTTTTAATTTATTCTTTATTTAAATTAGAGCTTATTGAAATAACTTCTAAACATGCAACATGTTTATGCACTATCCTCTTTTTTGTAATATTTATTGGCTTGGTCATAAAGTCTTATAAGTTACAATTTTATTATATGTTTGTTAGAGCTCAAGAATAGAATCGAACGAACAGCAAAAATAATAACTAATACTTAATTAATTCGTTGATAAAAATTTGCAGACTAGAGCAAACTCGTCTCTAATTTTCCACACCCGATCGCGTGACGCATGAGCCATCCAACCGTCAGCCATATCATCTTAATCCTCGGAATTTCAATCCTAACAGAGTGGTCGTGACGGGCACGCTTCTTCTACATGAATATTATCTACCAAATGTTGGCAGAACAAATAAAGGTTGGCAAGTATGCAAAAAAATTTAAATATATACTTTGCATCTGTCAACTTATAATTGCCAAAATAAACATGTGAGATCACAGATTGCTAATTTGTTCCTTTTTAAGTGCTTGTTCTAGATCTGTACTAATATTATGAAGAGATAAAGTTTCTAACTTTTTTTATGGGATAGGAATCAGACGAGCAGACGGATCACCTGATGGTAAGTGATTACCGTCGCCCATGGACACCTGCAACACCAAAGGTCTACAAGCGCGTTGTCGGCCTTTGAGGGACGAATATGATCATAGGGAGGGAAGGGTTGAGGGGTAGAGGGAAGGGAATAGGGAGGGGTTAGGCCTCCGGTACCCTCACTCACACGACGAAACACAACGCAAGCGTTGCTTCACGTCGTTTTTCTGTGAGGCCGTGGTATCACTCCGGTCGAGCCAGCCCATTCATGCCGAAGCGTCTTCTTCTTCGGAAATACTGATCGGATCACCAAAATTCTTTCACCTAAGGGAAGCTACAACATACGCCGGTGATGTAGACTATAAGTTACATGGGCGAAGTCGCGGTAAAATAACTAGAATTGTTTATATCGAATTCTCTCCAAATTACATAGTTTTGGTAGTGATATTGAAACTCAACGAAGATTTTTTGTACTTCCAGAAGAACTCAACTTTTTAGATCATAATTCTATTATTTCGTGTTATTACTTGTAGGTAAAATAATTCTGAATTTCAGTCGGAGAATGATGGCTTATTATAAGAATATGCAACTTGTCTTTTTTTAAATTGTTTATTGAATTACTACATTGTGTATGCTATGTCGAATTTGAGGCTGTTTCTATTACAAAATGGCAAAGCAGACATATGCAAGGTATCGTCGAATGAAAACGGAGATTCACAAACATTACTATAAGGATTTAAAAGTATAGTTCATGCTGCCATTTACAATGAAAAGGCTGCTTATTTACGTCATTTTATTAATAAACATGTTCAGAACTCACGTACACTTTGGAAAAATATTAAACGTCATATTGATTTCAACGAGAAGCTTGTCGAGCTGCCCGAGAGGATTTCCAACCCCGATCATATTAATAGACACTTAGAGTTACCGGCTCTTATACATGAAGATAATTCGCATAAACAGAGATATTATAGTAATCGTTTTAACAGTAGCGTTGTTGGTATTCAGCCAGTAACGAAGTAACAATCTCTAAGATCATTGAAAAAATGAGATCGAGTGTACAGGGCGTAGATGGTATAGCACTGGATATGTTTCTTTTAACTCATCCACGGACTATGGGTGTTATTACTGCAATTATCAATAATTCCATCACAAAATGTATATTCCCAGATCAATGGAAGGAATCAATTATTAGGCGGCTACCAAAAATCAAACGCTCAACTGCACTCAAGAACATTCGGCCAAAAGTTAAAATTTTAAGTTAAAGTACAAGATTAATTTATTGGTTACACATTATAATATGTCAAATGTTACAGGTTAGTGAATGCTTTCTCTGAAGTGTGATGCTATTTCCAACCCCATGCTAGAAATTCGTGTGAATTTGTTTTACTGAAATGTTATTTTTATTGTAGTTTTAATTACTAATTATTAATGTTGAACCTCAAGTCTCGGGGTACCTATCCGCTGATAATCCCGCTGAAAATCAATGCATATATATAGGGAACCATAGAAAAGTGTTGAGATTTTTTTTATTTTTTCATAGTCAAGTCCACAAGGGGATACATTTTGTTAAAGTTTCCTTATTAAAATGAAACTTTATGCAAAATGCATAGTCAAATACAAATAGACTAGAAGAGATAAAGCAATAAATGTATGTATAAATAATAAGTTTTTGGACGCCTTAACGTAGACGGTGCGGCGAAGACATGACAGATTAAACTGACTAGCCGGTTGTAAATAAATTGCAGTTAACTTATGATTTAGTTATTTATATATGTATATAATTAATAATTGTGAAAGGCGAAGTCATCGAAGTCTTTTATATGAAATAATTATTTCAAAACTAATTTCAATATTCTATATATGGGATACTATTTCTTATTTTTTACTCGACTACGGCGAAGCGAAATGGAGGGTTATGATTTTGGCCGATATGTATGTATATAAGAATATTCATCTATTCCCTTATAACTTCGAAACTACGTGTCTCAATGATATTGTTAACATTTACTCCTCTCTCTCTCCATCCACTGGTTGCCTGGAAGAAATCGCTTAAAGCGATAAAGCCGCCAATTGTTACATAATAGTTTTAATTTACTATAAAATTGTATGATTCAATTGTATATTGTGAACAATAAAGAGTTTTGTATTGTATCGTATTGTTGTACGCGTGCTATAGACTACGTAACGTTACATTAAATTGGCAACAGCGCCTTCCAGAGAGCATAAAGTAAGAAACTTAAAAAATAATATTATTCAATCATTCCGTGTAGGGTATCAAATGGAAGGGCTTAATTAGCACATCTCAAATATATGTATATATACATATTGATAGCTTTTGCTTGCAATTTCATACACCCGAAAATTAATTATATAAATGATAAGTTCAAGAACTAACTCCCGACTACAAGTCCTGCAGTCGGGTTTCTTACTCTTAAAGTTAATTAAGTTAATCCGACTTCAATAGCATTTCTTTAAATAAGTCTCTTTTGAGATAAATATTATTAATCACTTTTTTTATATTCTCCAGATACCGTGACAGTACTCAAAAAGTGAGA